CCCTGAAGCCCCATCTCCTTTAGGGCAGCCCGTAACGCCGGGGGGGGCTTAAACCCATAAGGGTCAGGGCTCCCTTCTGTAGCCTATAGCAAATGGGGCTCACGACACAGAGGTCCGGGGTTCGTGTAGCGCTGTGCGGCTCGCACACGGCAGCTGTAGGGCTGAGAGCCTCCGTAACCCGAAGCTCTGGGGTCGCCTATAGGGCTGAAGCGCTTGGAGCTCCTGACCCACGTGAAACCGCCGGAAGGGGCGGGGCTTTGCGCGAGGCCACGCTCATCACGTGACGTCGTCGGGGCGGAAGCAGCCGCGGGTGAGGGAGGCGGGAGCGCGGTGGGGAAGGGATGGCGGGGGGTGGGCGCTGCCCGGCGGCGTTCGGGGAGCCGTGGGGCGGCACGCGGGTGGGACGCGGGCTCGGGGCGGGATGCGTGGCGCCGTGGGCGGGTAGGGGGTGTAACGGGGCGCCCCCCAACGGGGCGTTTAGAGAGGGATGCGGGAGCGGTAGGGGCGCTGGGGCCCAGTGGGGGCAATGGAGACCCATAGGGGCTCAGTGCCCCACGGCCGTGGGGGTTTCCCCGTGTGCTCCCCAGGTTCCACCCCGCGATGGTGGAGCCGGGCTGGCTGCTGTCCCCCCCCGGCCGCCCGTACCTGGCCTCCATCCTCCACAAGAACCAGCGCAGAGTTTTTGGTGAGACCCTACAGCGTTCCCCAACCCCCCTCCACGTCAACCCCAAACCGCCCCAAACGCCTCACACATCCCCTTCTTCTCCCATCCTCCCCCTCCCCTTCCCCCCCCAGGGCTGCTGGAGCGCCCCGCGCTGCCCCCCGCCCTCAGTGTCCCCACGGTCACCTACAAACTCTTCGTTTCGGGACGCAGCGGGGTGGGCAAAACGGCGTTGGTGGCAGCGCTGGCTGGGAGCCCCGTGCCCCCTTTGCACCGAGAGACGTTGGGTATGGAGGGGGGACCTGGGGGGCTTGGGGTCACGATGTGGGGGAGGGACACGATGGGGATGCTGAGTGTAACGGTGCCATGAGGGCACAGTGGGGGGAAATGGGATCGGTGGGATGCTCGGTGTGGTGGCACGGTGGGGGGTGCGCAGACATGGGGTGCTTGGTGTCATGGTGTGGTGGGGACAGAGGGGACGTGGGGTCTGTGAGATGCTGTGCCGTGGTACGGTGGGAAGCACAGGGATCTGGGGTCCGTGGGGTGCTCAGATTAACGGTATCACAGGGACACGGTGAGGGCATGGGATCTATGGGGTGCTCGGTGTCACAATGCCACAGGGACGCAGCGGCAACACGAGGTCTGTGGGGCGCTCAGTGCGATGGTATGGAGGGGACCGCAGGGATGTGGGTGTCCGTGGGGGTCTTTGGTGTCACAGTACGGTGGGGACGTGGGGTCCGTGGGACGTGTCACGGTGCTGTGGGGCCGTTGGCTGGATGTGTCCCTTTGCTGTGCCACAGGAATCGAGGTGAGCACGCTGTTCTGGCCCGCCGTGCCGCTGGGCTCCGAGCGCCCCGTGCTCTTCCAGCTGCGTTTCTGGGACTGCGGGGAGAGTGCCCTGCGGAAATTCGAGCACCTCCTGCCCGTGAGCTGGGGACAGACGTGGGGGGGGATGTGGGGCGCTGAGGTGGGTGACGGCCGCCTCTCCTCTTCCAGGCCTGCAGGGAGGAGGCGGACGCCATCCTTTTGCTGTTCTCCTTCACCGACCGCGCGTCCTTCGAGGAGCTGCCGGCGCGGCTGGCGCGTGTGCTGCAGCCCGGCGAGGACACACTGCGTGTGGTGGTGGGCACCAGGTACTGGGGGTCCCCGGCAGCCACCGCCCCGTTGAAGCACCTCGAATCCCCCGCACTGCCCTTCCATGCTCTCCCTTAAGACCCCAAATCCCGAGCGCTTCGAATCCTCTGTATCCTACAGCACCCTGCATCTACGTCACCTCCATCCCCAGCATCTCAGCACCCATCACCTTCCAGCACCCCTAACCCTCAGCATCCCAGAGCAGCCAAAATTCCAGCAGCCCCAACCTTATCAAATCCCAGCACCCCAAATGCCCAGCATCCCAGCACCCCGCGTATCCCCCTCACCCTAAATCTCATTCCCCCGCAAATCCTCAGCCCTCCCTGTTCCGCCGTCCGATTTTTAAGGCGCTGCCATCACTGTAATCCCTTCATGTCCTCAGATTCGACCTGTGTCCCCACACTGCTGTGACGGAGTCGGACGTGGCTGCCTTCGAGGACAGCTGGGGGCTGCGGGTGCTGCGGGCAGGGGGTTCTGGGGTGGGCCGGGGGGGGTCTGGCACGGGTGGCCCCACTGCTGGATGCCCTGGTGGGGCAGCTGTGGCAACGAGACCAGATGGCAGCTGGTGTCATCCCAGAGGGTCAGGGGGCCCCCGAGGACTGAACCCCATTTTGGTGGGGGGTTCCATGTTTTGGGGGCGCGGGAGCCCCTCACCGTGGCGTCTGGGCTCCCCCTGTCATTAAACAGTATTGGTTTTCCAAACTCTGGATTGGAGATTTTTTGGGGGGGGGGGGGGGGGGGGGGGGGGGGGGGGGGGGAAAAGAGGACGGAGGCCCTTCATTTTGGGGTGGGGGAGGCGGAGGTGCCCGGGGTCCTTGGGGGCTGGGGAATGTTTGGGTGGGTGCTGTCCCTATAAGATCTGGGGGCGATGTGGATTTGGGGTGCTGAAGGATGCTGTGATTTTGGGGGGGGACCCCAAGTAGGCAGGACCCCAACTGCCCCCAAAAGGTCCTATGGGGGATTTGGGGAACCCCAGCTCCCATCCCACAGCAGAGATGTGGGGCGTGGTGTGGGACGAGTCGGGGTCACGGTGGGGCCTGGGGTGCGGTGAGGTTTTGGGGAGCAGCTGGGCCGGCCCGGCCGGTCAATCCGGGCACGTCGCAACCCTGGGAGAAAGTGCTGGAAACGTCCCAAAAGTGTGGGGGCAGATGGGGAGGGGGTGGGGGGGGAGCAGGCAACACTGGGATGAGGGGTGAGGGTGGATGATGGGGGATGGGAAGAGATTGGATGGATGGATGGATGGATGGACGGACAGGGATGGGTGGTGGGTGGATGGATGGATGAAGGGGTGGATGGGATGGATGGATGGGGTAATGAATGGGGGGATGGATGGATGGGCAGACGGACGGGGAAGTGCTTGGATAGACAGCTGAGGGCTGGACAGATGGACAGGTGGGGGGGGGGG